GACCCCCAGGGGGGGTCGCGAAGCCTTAGGTTGAAAAACACTGCTTTAGAGGATTGACAATTATACACGACTATTTACTTATATTCTTCTTAATGATGAGAATGAGCATTATGCTAATTTCGTATTTTATCGTATACTTTAATCGATTTTTATAAAGTTATATATTAATATATAATGCAGCTACTTACGAATCTGTTGAGAGCACGAAACCGCCATTATTATCTATACTCCTTCCAGGAAATGTATTTCTTTTCGGAAAATATCCGGTTACATATAAACGCTGGTAGAAAAGAAAGAAAGTAAAAAAAAAATAGTTATAACTCTCAAATATATTTTCTCACTTCAAATGGGAATTTCAAAGTTTAAATATTATTAATTAAAACTGTGAAATGTTAATTGCGTGTAAAATTAACTGACACTTTTCATACAAATTAGTTGTATTTTCATATAATAAGGAAAACAGGCATAACACTCCTCTTGAAACGAAAGTATTTCCGTAATTACTCAGGATATATTTCTTCATAATTGAAGGTCAGACTATTTACACTTGATCGTTGTTAACATTGTGAACTTTTTTTACTTGTTTACCTTTGTTTTAAGAAGTATATTCTTAAAAAAAAACTCATGTTAACTGTTACTTCTGGAGTGTATTAAAAAGGATTAAGATAGACTCGAAAATTTAATATTTTTGTAAATAGTCTGACCTTCAATTATGAAGAAAGTAAATACTTCTATATATAGATTCTATATTCACCACTCGTAGGTTTATGTGCCTTAATTATCGAAGATATCTTTGGTTTTTAGGTACAGTACAGTGTGTGAGTATACGTAGTTAAATGAAGTTACACACTATAGTATATTTATAATAATACTGCTGTAAATAATAACACAAACAATAGCACAATTATCATTATATTTATAGCGATTCTTGTGTCACTAATATCGTAATAAAGTAATTACAGTACTTCTATTTTACTATTAATACAAGATATATATATAAATAATAAGTAACTTGTAAGATATACGGCATACATTGGTAACACAAAAAATATATACGTTTATACATTCTACGTTATTCAATACTAAAACTTTATGTACATTTTGTATTGCAAAAATTATAAATTGTGTGTGCAAAAAATTAAGTTTTTATTCTCTATAATAACATGTTTAAAGTTATTTTTCAAAATAGACAATGGAACAGTTTAATATATTGATATAACTTGTAAAAACTTATTTCTGTGTTCTTGGTTTTACTTCTGTATTGTAAACGAAAACGAAAACATGACCCCTATTTTCTGCATTTACATTTATTACGTTTTTAGATTCTTCATTACAATGGATAAAAAATTGCAAACTTGTACTAAAATCGGCCCATCAAAATTTGAGAACGAACTCAATTCTATAAGCCATACAAAGGACGTGCTAGCGATAGTACGACAAAGCCATGTCGCGCTATGGAGATCTTATATCTCGAAAACGAAGTCATAAACCACATTTTTTATTATATTTTTGGATTCCTCATCGCAATTAATGGAAATGGCAAAGTTTAATCAAAATCGTTAGAACAGATTTTGAGAACTAACAAAGTTATGTAGGCTATATAGAAGATTAGCTAACGCTCCGCCTCGATAGAAGATAGGTTTGTAGCCTCTATTGGTGGTATTGGTGGGGGGTCGCAGGGTCGTGCCCAGTGGCGTACCGTGGGTGTCAGCCGCCCGGGGGCGTAGAAAAATTTCGCCCCCAATTTAGGTATTTCAATTTAACGGACCAAAATTCAGTTTTGTCATAGAACAAGCGATTAAAAATTCGGTGGTAGTGCAGCGTTTAAAATAGTTCTATTGGATATTAGTGGTGTCTATGAACGCGAATGAATCGTACAAGCATAAAAAAAGGTCAACAGGTTTCGCAGGATTTCCTCGGATGAAAAAATTACTAGTTCACCCGGACGGCGAGCCGATTCCCAGACTGTCCGGACGATAGCACTATCGTAGGCGCGATGCAAGTATAGGTTAAATTAAAATGTTTCAAATTTTTACAAAATATTATTATTATCTATTGTGAAATTTTGCCTCCCGAGGCGGGCCGCCCCTGCCGCCCCCACTACGGTACGCCACTGGTCGTGCCGTGCTATGATACAGAGACATAGCCACATCAGGGAGCACGGTAAGGAAGTGGCATAAGCAGCATTTAAGTGGCGGCATTTCGAAGACTTGCATCATACTGAGAAAATCTACCTTACGGCCCTGGGGCACCCGCAATTTCCGTTTTCGCCCGTAGGCTAACGTGCCACTGACAGAGTACCCCTAAAAATTAAAATAGATTACCCGCTATAGTTTTGTTTCATGTGCAGTGTATTAATTAAAAAAAATATATATATATACACACATATACCCAGTGGTGATATTCAGCGGGTTCGCACAGGTTCGGCCGAACCCGTTGTTAACATTTTCAAAGTTTTCCGAACCCGTTGTTAAACACACGTAATATTTCTCAGTGATTTTGTTTCTTTTAAAAAATATATTAAAATATACGTATTATACTCTGTAACACTACTAAACTAGAGCCTTATACCCTGTTCGCCTAGTGCAACCTCCATCGACCGTTTCAATCTCGACTAAAACGAGGTTCAATCGCGATCGACTCAAGAGTTCTCGAAACTAGATCCAGTCATAAGAGAGATTCCACAATCCCACGCGCGCGAGAAAATACAAGATGGCTGCGGAACACGTGTCGTAATAAAATATGTACAAAATAAACCATTTTGAACACTCTTTTTTATTATTTATAAAAAAAAATATAGTTTTGGCATAAACAATGTTAAATTTTAACTGACTTAATTTTGCGAACGCATCTTTTTTATTTATATGGATATCTTAAGGTCAGTTTTTGCGCTGATGTTGCTAATGCACCATTTGAGCGAAAAAAAAAAATTGTCAAGGAAAAATTTCTGTTAGCGAACCCTTTGTTAAATATTTCGAATATCACCACATACCGATATATTGATATATTATATTAGACTTTTGTACATCCAGAGAAACACAAACTTTTAATTTAGGGCGGCCGGCACAGATGAGCAAAAGCATGAGGTGATGAAGCCGCCTTGATCTAGCTGCGAAATTCTCACGTCACGAAATTTTAAAAGTCACTTGACTCGTGACTTTTAGAAGATCCCATTCGTCGTCGAAACTCCGCAAACCAATACGGGAAGACGTTACATTTTTTCCCTCCACTTGGCCGATTTTCCCTAAATTTAGGGGGAAAACGGGAAAATCGGCATCACTCCCCTTAGGGACTATCCTAAAAAATTTCCTGGAGTGTTTAGGTCAGTTCCGCTAATTATAAATTCGCAGAGTGAAAAAAATTTTAAAAAAGAAACCACTACTTCAATGTTGCCATCTCTGCGATTGCACAGATGGCAACACTGAAGTAACGTAGTCTCACATGGTCTCGCGCATGTACGTTAACTCCCTCGAAGAGAAAGGCGGTCGTTTGCAAACAATGAAACGTGCGTGATTTCGCTGGTATTTATTTCCTCATTGTTAATTTAACGAAATAGTAAGAAGTAGGTTGATTAACTGACATCGTTGATTGATTAGAATGATTTTATATGAAAGTTTTCTAAGCATTTCGATTACAGCATAAAGAAATCTGATACAGTACAATATTTCTGTGTTCAAAATGGCTGGTAAGTGTTACTGATCTGTTTTTTTTTTTTATCAAATTTTTTTAAATTTAAAAACAAAAAAAAAGAAATTCTTAACTCTTATGAATTTTTAATATTCAAGGATTCGACTGGGAAAGTGTAAGGATCAAGCAGGAAATTAAGGAAGAAGTTGTAAACGATCCTTTTCAGGATGGCGTAAAAGACAGTAAAGTGGGAATCTATACGGGTTTAGAATTAACGGAAGATGTCAAGGATATCAAAATCAAAAAGGAGTTTGAGATGAAATACAAATATGCCCTAAAGCAGGTTAAAATTGAGATTAAAAAATGTGACGTCAAAGAGGAGCAGGTGAGTTGAAATGTCGTAGTTCTATAAGTTTCTAAGGCTTGCCAATGGCCAAGCGGTTCCATTCCCCCGAATGCTGGTTTCGTGCCCGGTTGGGACGGGCTGGTCGCTTGGAGTTTTTCAGGTTTTCTCCGCGTCTGTAATGCGTGAATAAGGGTTGGTTACCCTTAAAAGACCTGAAAGGCATCTCCTAGCCTTATACTACGTTCGCACACAATCCACGACTCACTTCGATCTCGATTTACCCACAATCTGGATTGTGACTGTCGCTAGTCGAATGTCGTGCTGTTCGCACAGGCAGTCCGCTCGAGAAGAACCTGGCTATTACACGCGATCATAAAACTGACGTAACTACGCGGTAAGTCACAAACACCAACAAACAAAATGGAAGTTTTGGTTAGAAATAAATACTTTTTCTTGCTGTACATCTTATATTAGACAGATGTCGTTGTCTCTCCAGATGTCTTTTTTATTTCTCTGTCGATAGCCCGACACGTGTTCCACAGCCAACTTGTATTTTCTCGCGCACGTGGGATTGTGCGATCTCTCTTATGACTGGATCTAGTTTCAAGAACTCTCTCCAGTGGATCGCGATAGAACCTCGTTTCAGTAGAGATTGAAACAGTCGAGAGCATTTGCACCACGGAACTCTCTCCGACCTTAGTCACAATCTACATCGAAATGCTCGGTGCAAACGGGGTATTAGTGTTGCGTTGCTGTTACTTAACAAAAGAAACAAGTTTCTAAATCGATGGCCTCGCTGGTGAGTTCTGTTGAGTCTCTCCATTGTATGATATGATGTGTTTTGTAGAAGAAAAAAATGCTTGCGTAAATGCATAGTTGTGTCTGTACGATATGTATAGCTTTTGGTAATCTGTCCGTTATTATGGCAAGGGTGAATCTATAGTTTCTACGGGTAAAATTTACTTGTTTGTTGGAAATTGCAATGTTGGTTTGTCGAACATGCTGGTCGTGAAGATGATTGAACGTGATGGTCTATTTAGAAACGTTGCTTATTTGTGATTGATTCGATCGTCAAATATACAAACACACCGATTTTTTGTATTCGTAATCCAGGATCGAGAGTTAAGAATTACCATAGAAGTTAACCGTTACGCATTCACATATCTGCATACTACAGTGGGATAACAATAAAATAAGACACTCTGCAACTAATGACCAGTGCGGCGTTTATTATTTGTTTCTTATCTGTGCTTTGCAGTGGTTATTGGTTGTAGAATCTTATTTTAACATTCACATACTAAAAGTAAAATGAATGGTAATTGGTTAACTTCTAACTCTACATTTTGATCCTCGGTTGTGATTACGGCCTTATATGATTAATTTTTTCCTTCTCTGAAATTGCATTATTTATTCTGTTATCTGGTTTAAATAAGAATAAATAAAAATACAACTTAAATGTAAGTTACTTCATGATTTTGGAATTTTGACTCATTATCATTTTGTGTTAACAGAGATATGAATTTAATCTCTTCAAACAAGTCACTTTTATCAATTCAATAAAGATTCTTTAATATTTAAGTTAAAAAGTCCAACACAACTTATCTTTGGTCCCACTAGGTCAGGGGTCGGCAACCTTTTGAGTCGGAAGAGCCAAAAATTACAATTTACAAAATTTCAAAGTTTTTAAAGAGCCACAAAATTTTTTCTTGCCAACAATAAATAGAACTCGCATAAATAAAGTTTTTTGATAAAAAAAAAAACTAATCTATTTATTCAGAATCGTCTTGCGTCGAAAGTGAATTAAACCTCATAGAAACATCCGACGATGGCGTCATTCGAGAGATTCTGACGGACTGACAACGCGTGTCATGGTGGAGGGATGCGATGAAAAGCGAGTACAAGTGGCTGAGAGATAGAATCGGTGCCTAATCCTCGTTAATCGATTCAGAATGATTTTTAAATGTTTGTTTTTTTGATAAAATAAATAATATTTGCGTATGAAACTAAAGAGCCGCAACTTCACATCCAAAGAGCCGCATGTGGCTCGCGAGCCGCAGGTTGCCGACCCCTGCACTAGGTTAATAGTGCTTACTGTTTCCCGAGATTAAACAAAAATAAGTACAGAGCAGTTGATCATATTATCACAAATCATAAAGGTAAGAATGGCATTTCTCATATTTTACTTGTGTGAGCCATTATTTTTGTGGTGGTTGTGTGACCCAAATGCTTATAATAGAGAGGTTGCTGCCAACGTTTTCAACACGAAAACATATATGTCGGACATTCAGCGCCGCTTTCCTAAAGGCCTAGAAGTTTGGCAATAGTGTTTGGAATGTCGAGCATGATTCCACTGACTATCCTAAAGGCCTAGAAGTTTGGCAATGGTGTTTGGAATGTCGAGCATGATTTCACTGACTATCCAAACACCATTGTCAAACTTCTAGGCTTATACGAAAGCGGCGCTGAACGTCCGATGTACACGTTTTCGTGTTGAAAACGTTGGCTACAACCTATCTAATATAAAGTTTTTTTAAAAAACTGGGTCACTGGTAAACTGGGGTCACTGTATAATTATATAATGAAATAAATTATGCATTATTGATGATAACTTTTACCTATGAAAGTTATACCATTGCTGTTACAAACATGATGTCGGTTCAAGAATTAATGTTGGATAATTGCATTTAATGCTGCAGACTGTTTATAAAACATGAGACGAGTTTTGGCACTTAATTGTTGATGTCGCATTAATGTCAATTCAAAGAAAACTCATTTTTGCTATTGAACATGAGTGTAGTTTTTACGAATAGGCTCAAGAATTGTTGCAATGATTACTTTATTTTTCACACCACTTCGATGACTTTGGTTCTGAGTAACATTGTATGTAACATGGTTAAAATAGGAAATGTCAATTATTTGTTGATGAATATACTAAAGTATAATATAACATAACGTAGAACATGCATTTAATAACAAAGTAAATATTTACAATAAATTTTATCTATACTAATATAATAAAGAGGTAATGTTTGTATGTATGTAAGTTTGGATGCAGCAGGTAATCTCCAAAACTACTCATCCAATTTCAAAAATTTTTTCACCAATATTTAGAATGGAACGTCAGGGTGGACATAGGCTGTATATTATTCCGTTAAACATGGGGGATGGACAGTTCTTTACGGTAAGCCTTCCCCGTAAGGCTTACCGTAAAGAACTCTGCTTCTATTTATACTATTTTAGATGCGGGTTTTTGCATTTTTGATTGCATTTTAATAGGGTACGTCAACAGAATGTACACTAAGAAGAAATTTTTCGATATTCCCCCGGGGGAGGGGACAGGATTAAGGCTTACTGTGAAGAACTTCACTTCTATTATACTATTTTAGATGCGATTTTTTGCGTTTCTGATTGCATTTTGATAGAGTACGTCAACACAATGTATACTAAGAAGGGATTTTTCGATATTTTCCCCGCGGGGGAGAAGGACAAGATTAAGGCTTACTGTGAAAAACTTGGCTTCTATTATACTATTTTAGATGCGGGTTTTTGCGCTTTTGATTGCGTTTTAATAGGGTACGTCGAGAGAATGTACACTAAGAAAAAATTTTTCGAAACATTTTCCTTCACGGGGGAAGTGTTATACATTTATAATAGATACATTTTGAGCCACAACAAGGCGTGGCGGGGTCTGCTAGTTATATTATATTATGTGTACATTAGTAATGTCAATTGTCAAGTGATAAAACTATTTTATCATAAGCTTAACTGAATTCTGACATTATTGTTAACTAAAGGGAATTTAACTAGGAAAAGTAATATTAAAATTAACCATTAGTAACAACTAGGGTTTCTCATTTCCCAGTATTTTGCTTGTCCCGGGATCCCGGGATAAAAGTTAACTGTTTTCCAGGATCCTGGGAAATCCCGGGATAGAATTAATTATTTTTAAGGTATACAAAATATCTTGAAATCAAATGATATAATTATTTTCCATTTTTTAAAGTAATTTTAAAGTTTTGTAACCTCCAAAATCATATTAATAATGCTGTGTTAGGTCTATAGGCCTATAATAAAAATTACCTTTAAATAACGTAGAAATTTTCACAAATAGAAAAAAATTAATTAAAGTTTGCTGGAAACTGCATACAACAACAACAAAAAAAA